ACCCCTCTCCTCCCTGACCCCAGCCTGACCCCTACTGTCTCCCTCGAACCCAGACCACACCCCTCTCCTCCCTGACCCCAGCCCGGCCCCTCTCCCTGTCCCCAGTCTGACCCCTACTCGAACCCTGACCAGTCCCTCACCGAGCCGTGTTTCGCCCCCTGCAGGTGCGGCAGTGACGCTGACGGACCTCCCCCACGCTCTCCCCCAGCTGCAGCGCAACGTCTCGGCCAACCAGCCCTCCCCCTGCTGGCCCCACCCCCCCTCGGTCCGCGCGCTCAGCTGGGGGCTCGACCACGCCCACTTCCCCTCCGACTGGGACCTCGTCCTGGGGGCAGACATCGTGTACGCGCGGGACACCTACCCGCTGCTGCTGGCCACGCTGCGCCACCTGTGCCAGCAGGGGGCAGTGCTGTACCTGGCGTCCGAGCTGCGGCAGGAGCACGGCACGCCGGAGTTCTTAACAGAGCTGCTGCCCGGGAGCTTCCACACCGAGCTGCTGCACCACGACGACCAGCTCAATATCAGCATCTACCGCGGCACGCTGCGGGGCGCTGGGACACTGAGAGAGAGAGACGGGGCTCTGGGACACTGAGAGAGAGAGACGGGGCTCTGGGACACTGAGAGAGACAGGGCGCTGTGGGGCGCTGGGACACTGAGAGAGAGAGAGGGGGCGCTGGGACACTGAGAGAGAGAGAGGGGGCTCTGTGGGGCGCTGGGACACTGAGAGAGAGAGGGGGCTCTGTGGGGCGCTGGGACACTGAGAGAGAGAGGGGGCTCTGTGGGGCGCTGGGACACAGAGAGAAAGAGGGGGCTCTGTGGGGCGCTGGGACACAGAGAGAGAGAGGGGGCTCTGTGGGGCGCTGGGACACTCAGAGAGAGAGAGGGGGCTCTGTGGGGCGCTGGGACACTTAGAGAGAGAGACGGGGCTCTGTGGGGTGCACTGGGACACCGAGAGAGAGACAGGGCTCTGTGGGGCATGCTGGGACAACAGAACTGGGCACCTCTTCTGACACAGAAGCCCCACTGGACTGAGACATTCACACACCTCATGCCTATCTTTCTGCTACACTTTCATGTGGCTTTTTTAGAAGGTTTTTATTCGTTTCTTTCTGTCTGCACACTTCAGTCTTTTTCTAAAGTTTTGATATAAGCTTTGTAACTGTTTCTTTCTACAGTGTCAGCTGCCCTGGTCAGGGTGTCAGGTAAGCTGGTAATAAACTGCTCAAAACAGAGTTGGACCCTGGTGCTGTGTCATTGAGCCTGGAGCTGTGTCATTGGGTTTCACACTGGCTACGAAGGCAAGGAGCTCACGTGTGATAACTGCACATGTTCTTACGGACCAAAACATTAGAGAATCCAAATGGATCCCATGTCCA